ACACCCCATGCCGAGTCTCCTTCTAATGGTGTTTGGGATCAATGATTGATCTCTTGATTCTCCTACTTGTGGCAAAACTCTCTCAAAGGCATATAGATCTCGATCTAGAACCAACTACCTAGTGCCTCAATGGCTTAGTCTTGCTCAAGTCCCCTCGGCTTGATCTTTAGAGAGATGAGAGATAGAAATCAAATAGAGAGGGAGAGATCTACTAGCTAGGGGATGCTCCCTTTTGTTACCCATAAATCAAGAACCAACCTTAGCTAGGCGTGCCCTTTAGAAAACACAAGCCTATCCTAGCCTAGGCGTGCCACCTTGAAGAGATCTTGGAGGCTAGATTGGTGCGTGGCCCCTTGGGCTATCTTGGAGAAAGAGATCCCAAGCTTAGGTTGGGGCGTTGCCCCTTGGGCTATCTTGGAGAAAGAGATCCCAAGCTTAGGTTGGGGCGTTGCCCCCTTACAAACTTTAGGGAGAGAGCTGAAACCTAGGTTGGGGCGTGCCTCCTTTGAGAGATTTGGTGAGAGAGAGAATTGGTGTAGAATTTATGAGGTGGGTGAGCATCTATTTATATATTTTATATGCCCTAGGATTTGCTATAATTAATAAGATCAAATCTTGGCCGTTGATCCAAGGTGAGCCATCCATTCCGTTGATCCACCATCAAGATTCAAAAGAAGGTACTACCAGTGTTTCAAAAAGCGGACCCCCCAAAGCTTGGGTGGCCGCCGAGGCGATTCTGGGGGCCTGGGCTCATCGCCTAGGCCTAGGCGCCCAAAAAAGCGGTTATCCTTTGGCGCCTGTCCGCCCAGGGCCTGCCCCGCCCAAGGGCGGAAATGCCCCTCGTTGAGGGTATTTTTGAGTCTTTTTTTTTAATACTAAAGGTTTAAAATTGTGGATTTTAGGTTTATTTGAAACCTAAAACCCATTAGAGCTTATTTTAGAGAGAGAAAAACCCAAAAGAAAAAAATTCTACTGGGCCGCCCAGGTTCTGGGCGCTCACCTAGGTGCCTGCTTAAGGGCTGGGCGGCTGAACCTCCCCAACCACTTAGGTGTCGCCTAGCGCTTTTTGAAACACTTGGTGTTAGAACCTTATCCTCCATTTACTATATTCATGGTGTGCTTTGTTACCACCCTGCCATGGATGATCAAACAAATTGGGACACACCTCCAGGGAGGCCAAATTGCACCACACATCATCTTTATAAGTTATCCCTATCAAGAACTCACAAGACACTATGATTGAATAGGGATGAGGTTCCCCCCTTCAAACATGTGATATGGTAGTGTTTCTAACTTTTGGCTCTTCAAGCAAAGTTTGTTGTTCATTGTACTTAGACTATCAATGAAAATCATGAACAATTTCCCCCCCACTGTACAAGTGGTGTGGAAAATATTTTGCAGCAATTGCACATCAACTTCAGGGACTTTGGAGACATTGTGACCTTATATGATGAAAAGTGTCTTTCTTGGGATCTCTGGCAATGATTGAATCCAGAGCATCTTCGTGTTTCTGGTCTCCTACATCCTCACCCTAACTGACTCTATCCTCAAAATCAGCTTTACCCTATTCATTTTCTTCATCTTTTACTTTTTCCATCAAGATATTTTGAGAGTTTTACGATCTACAAGGCAATTCAGTTGATTGATGGCCTGCTTTTCCACACTAAAGGTGTAATTTTGTGGCCTAGGGCTAAGAATGTCTCATCTTATTTCAGCACCTGCTGGTGGTGTGCTACATGAAGGTGCTATTTTCGGTGTGGTAGCTTTAGCATATCCAGATGCTTGAGCCTTTCTAGAGAAATTCGAAGACCTTCAATTAGATTCCCCTTTCTATTAATAGGACGTTGGAAATGCTTCTCAACTTTCAATGCAAGTCGATAGGCGCTTTCAAGACTTGATGAGGTACGAAGGAATTCCCGATCATGGATACGATAATGCAGCCTGGCTTATTATTGAGTCATGACTTGCTCATCATCCCTTTGGAGGCCATTACATGAGGGCAGCAAGTGAAGTTCTTCTGTGTATTCTCTCACAGATCTAGTGGCATGCTTCAAAGCGAGTAGCTTTTGGTAAAGGGTCTTCTTATAATCAGACAATAATTACCTTTTGTCTAAGCTTCTATTCTATTTGTGCCAAAGTGCTATTCTCCTTTCCCTGCCCAACTGTACTCTCTTGAAGTTGCGTCCACCAGATAATTGCATAGGCTTTCAGCTTCATGGTAGCAAATGTCAACGTCCTATCCTTGTGAAGATCCTTCCATTCAATGAAGTAATGGATACTCTAATCACTCGAAGAACTCATCGAGATCCAAGTGTCTATGATAGTGCTTCACGTTGACCTTTATCCCATACTCAAGGGTTCCTTCTTAATACCCTAGCCAATTAGTTCTCTATGTGCTGTCCTCTATGGTATTGCCCAAGTTCCATATAAGAGTCCTCATGCTGCTCATCTTTTTGCTCATCTACTTTTTGGTTCCTCCTGGAACCATGCACACTATCATCTCCGTGAGGCTTCTGCTGAGTGTTAAGATGAAGCACCACCCTAACACCTATAACCTTCGCAATTTTTTCCTGCTGCTTCCTAATTCGTAAAGGGAGTGTTGGTCAAATCTTTAATGACCATGTCCATGGGCTTGGCCAAAACCTGGGGTCCTAACCCTGACCTTAATTCACATTGCCTTGATATGGCATGGAATGTGGACTCAACTAACCCTAATATGGGAATTTGTTTTTGCCATGTTCAAAAAAAAATATGGGAATTTGTTTTTTGTTTTTAAGACTTGAGGGAGGACACTTCCTAAGCTTTTGATGACCAGTAGTACAACATTCCGAACATGGGAACTCTAGGGCAGCAATCAAAAGATCTTAGGGACACTTGAAACCTTAAGGAACACTATATTGTTAAGTAGGACAACACCTAAGGAACATAACAACGAATGGAAAACACCTTATAGACCTAATGGATACCTTAAAAACTCTAGGGCTGACCCTAAACAACTAAAAAATGGATCTCTAACCTTATGAAAAAACATGCCCCATTACGAACCTAATGTAATGTAAGATTAGTCACTCAATAATCTTTGATTACAGGACCGTAAAAACTTTGGAGAGCACTTCTTGTTCAAACAAGGTTCATCATCATCATCATTTGAGCCTTATCCCAACTAGCTACACGAATCTTGTTCACATTCCACTCTATTAAGGGCCATACCCTTAGTCAGACCATAAGTCACCATAATCTTTTCTCACTATTTCCATTAATATCTTTTGGGGCCTTTTCCTTGCCCTTTTAGTGCATTCAGCTTGAACCATATCATCCCTCTTAATTGGTGCTGTTTTAGGTCCATACTGCAGATGACCTGACCACCCAAGTCTACTTTCCCTTATTTTTATCACCTCTTGGAGCTACCCTTAAGTTCCTCAAATATATTTATTTCGAGTTCTATCATTCTTTGTCTTGCCATTCATTTATCTCCAACATCCTCATCTCAGTTACATTTATTTTATAGATATATTGTTTCTTGACAGCTCAAAATTCTATCCAATAAAGCATGGTTGTTGTTACAACTGTCCTATAGAACTTCCCGTTCAGTTTCACATTCAAACAAGGTTAAATGTATAAAATATTTTAGTAAATAATCATCCACAAAACTAAAACAAACTTGTTAAATCAACATGCAATTTAGGAAATTTGCTCTAACGCTCGAGATATGATATATGTAATTGATTGAAATCTGTCCTTAAACAAAATTAGCTAAATAAAATTTATTCTGGTCAAATTTAAAGCTAGTCTACAGTCTGGATGGAATAATTAACCTTAAATTAATTATGGAGGGTCTTCACAGTAGTCCTTAGGGTTTTGAAGTCAATGGTATGAAAATTGGGGATTTCACTTTAGAATTGTAATTAAGGTTAAGGTATTTTGGATTATTTAGGAAATACCAATGGGTTACTTTTAGGGTTTTAATGAGTTTTTTTATAATGGGATGTGTTGTTTGGAGTAAAAGCAAAATTATGAAGGAAGAAGGGAATAGGGAAAATAAGGGAGAAAAAAAAACAATTGAGGAAAATGACAAAAGAATTTAGGGAAAGAAATGGAAGGAAAAAAAATTGGGAGGGCTAAAAGAATTTAGTGTAAGAAAAGGGGAGAAAGGACAAGAAGAGAGTTGGGAGAAAGAACAGAGGGATAAAATGAAATATATCTTGGAAGGGAGGGACCTTGGGAGGTGCGCTATTCCTCCTTGATGGCCTTTAATGAAATTATACAGGAAGGCCGTTCTGCTCCCCATTCCCCTGCCTTCTTTCTTTCTCAAAGTTCTCAAAGATAAGCACCAAGGGGCTGGACATCTGCCTCTCCCCACTCCCTTGCCTTCTTTCTTTCTCGAAGTTCTCAAAGATAAGCACCAAGGGGCTGGACATCTGCCTCTCCCCTTTATAAAACTTAACCTAAACAAAATGACCTTAATACACATAATTAGAATAAAATAATGAAGGGACTAAACTAACCAAAATTCTCTGCAACTAGAAATGACATAAATACCCTTCCACTGATTTAATAAAAAAAAAAAAAAAAAAAAAAAAATCTGTATCCTTAATTAAGCCTCATTTTTTTTTCCTCAAAAGAGCTAATATAAATTAAACAATTAAACTACTCCAAGAGAGGCCACAATGCCATCATTACTTTGTTTTCCTTATGAGCTTTATATTCTTTTTGCTGGCTGAAACCAACTCTAGTTCATTTGTATATGTTTCCCATCATGGGTAATTTTTCTTTAATCAATTTCCTTTAGGCTTATGTTCCCTGTCAGCTTTTCTGCTTTAAGTATCTCATATACTAAATTTATATACATGACTTAAAAGTGCCTTGTACTACTAGTCGGTTTGCTAGTTGTGTAATATGGCATGTTTTCTTGCGAAACCTTGTGGTTGACTTTTGTCTTGCTAGCATTAAGGCCTTTTGGTGACAAAATGTTTGCTTAGTTCCCAGTTTCTGTCCTGCAGATGAAAGCATGGGCAAGGGCACATGAAATAAACAGTTCCAGGAATCAAACTCTGAACTCTTTGTCACTAATTGTATTAACTGCTTTCCATTTACAGGTATAACATACTTCCTACAGCATCATGTTGAGAAAGCTGTTTAACTTGTTTGAGTAGGAAAGGAAATTTCTTTTGTTCAGGAGACTTTCTTGTCGGTCTTCAAATAAAGAAGAAGAAGGGGAATTAATTTGTCAATTGTTGCTACTCAATAGATATTCAGTTTTATTTTGGTTTTCTACTATTTGATGAGTAGCACTTTTAGTTGGAAATTGAACTGTCAAATTTCCTACTTTATAGGAATGCTGGGACAAAAACTGAGAATAGTAATGCGTTATCCGTGGGATTACTGTTCTTCATTTAAATCTCGAGTTACATTTTATTACATCTATCAATTACTTTAGAATAAGCTTTGTGTAGCTCATTTCATGTAAAGTATGGGAGTCCAATTTTGTCTTGCTTTTCATACGACTGCAATGGAATAAGCTATGCATATTATGCTCAGCGAGATGTAATAAATGTTGGACATTGTGTGGACTGGAAGGCTTTACCCCTATATACAAAGAGATTGTGATGATAGCAACGAAAGGCAAAGGGGTGCACCTCATTCAAGTAGCAAATTATGAAATGAATAAGAGTTCTGTGTCCAAATGATCATAATATCAATAATAAAAAAATAGTAGTAGCAGTACTAATATTTTAATTTACTTGCTTATGGTTTTCTTAACTCATTTTATTTTCTCTTTCTTAATATTTTATTGTGGGGATGGGAGCTGATAGTTCCATTTCCCCCATCGTGCCTCTGACATGAGTGGAATTCTATCTCCATCCCTATAATAATTTTTAAGTTGGGCAAGCTCCCTAATTTCCCCCTTTTTATGAGAATGATTCTTATTTGTAGAAAGGGGGATGTGGGCAAGAAAAGGCCCTCATCCACTTGGGGACCTCGCCACCGCCCTCCACCATTGTAACTATATGGCGATCAGTATCCAAGACCATTCGTCCCCATCCGCATAAAATGGGCTGCAATTCTTCTTTTTGGCCATGCATCATTTTAAGAATTCTTTGAAATAAAAAAACTTATCCTTAAGATAATATTGACAGATGGGTCCCTGTCATTTTCTCATTTGGGTAGATGACTAATGATTTCTTTTTCTTGGTGACACAGACACGAGTGCCTCCAATTTTTCCTCCCTTTTCTGTCCTTTTCAGAGGTAGTTCTCTTCATGCATTAGAATAAGTAGTCGAGTGTTATTGATTAGGTTACATGATATGCTATGTCCATATTAACCATTTGGAAGAGATGTTATTTGACATTAATCCTCTATGAATATTTGCCAAATATTAGTAGGCTTTTCTACTTTGATGCTATTTGTTTCAATAAATCCATGATGGCTTTATGAATTGTTTAAACTTGAAGAATTATATTCTTTATGCTTCATTGATAATGTATTGGATAGATGAACTAAACTGCTATTGGAGTGGATGCATCCTTTTATTTTGGGTATTAAATAGGTTCGCGATATATTCCTAAATTCAAAGAACTGGGGATCTAAATGGGGCGATCATGATTTTTCCATGGCTTAGAATTGGGTGTAAAAATGAGTTAGGTGTAGTCTCATATGGAGACTGTCTCGAGGCAAAGTGGCTAGGATGCCCCTAAAAAAAAAGGCCTTTACTATACTTATCTCTCTCTACTTGTGTATATGCTTATGTACATACATACATACATTTTGGGAATTTATACCATGATACTTGCAGCATATGCTGCATGTATGAGATGAACCACTTCTCTACTAGAGCAAAATGCAGTTCTTGTTGACCGACCATTGTTGGGATGGAGGGTTGGAAACATGTAATTTACCATTTGAAAACAATAATTTACCATTTGAAGACAATATGTATCGTAGTGTAAAGTTAACAAACATACATATTTGGATAAATCCATATCTACACGCATACATTAGACAAGTTTCAACCTTTTCCCTATGGCTATTCTTCCTAACACTATTGTGGAGTTAGGTTAAAACTGGTTCCTTTTTTCTCCATCTATTATTAAATAGTCACTATTTGGCTGCATATCTACACAAGTGAGGATCAAAAAGTGATGGGTGCGAATGAGTTGCAATAATTTTTTCTGAACAAGTGGAGGGAGAAAATTCTAATATGACCATTTTGTCGTCCATCCAAACAGGCCTGTGCATACATACATACATGCATACATAGAGCTACAAGCACAACTTGGAATATCATAGATACTCAAAATTCTTCGTCTTGCATCAAGAAATGAAAGAGAAAATCTGATTGTTCTGGTGACTAATAGGAGTTTAAATCCACCAATTTGATCGTGGCAAAAGAAGTATTCATTTATATTCTTATCCATCTTGGAGACAAAGTAGGTTTATTCATCAAAGGCCTTGAAAGAGGCAATTATCAACTCTTAATTAATGTGAAGTTTTTTTTTTTTGTTGGAGAGAAGGTTGGCTATATACTAGTAGTGTAATATATTCTGTACAAAATCCCCTATAGGCAAACCATAATGATGGGTGGTCAAGTACAGAAAAAGTAAGGGAAGCAAAAATAAAAGTTACAGTACAAAAAAACTTCAGCCTACAAATAGTAATCTGTAACAACTACTACAGAATTATAAGGAACAAGAAAGATAGAGAGAGAGAGAGCGAGAGAGAGAGAGAGAGAGAGAGAGAGAGAGAGAGAGAGAGAGGGAAAGAGAGAGGGAGAGAGAAAGAGTGACTAAAGAGAGATAAGGGGTAGACGTGGCGAGAGGAGCAGGGTGTCTTCAAGTTGGTGCATGCTGGGGTGGCAGAGATGCGGTTGCTCCCTCCTTAGCGAAACTGTCAGCTATGGCATTTGGTTCCCTCAGGATATGGTTGAATGTGACCCTTACTACGCAAAGTGAGAATATGTGGTCGAAGTGATGTGCCAATTTCCAAGGGGGGTTGAGCCATCTTTGTGGCCCAATAGATGATGTTTCTTGAGTCTCCCTCCACTATTGGGCTTTGTATGCAATCAATGATCCCTATGGCTTGTTAAAGGCCTTCTTAAACAGCTGTTATTTCAGCTGCGGTTGTGTCCGTTTCACCTATATACCCTGAGAAGAAAACAATCTCGATGTTGTGATCTTTGAGGCTGCTTCAATATCCCGAGATGCTAGGATTTTCAAGGGAGCAACCATCTACATTAAGCTTCAAGGTACCAGGAGGTGGCAGAGTCCAACAGGCCCGAGGCATTGAGGATCTAGTGGTAAGAAACAAAATATTGTTCCAGTTGGAGAGTTAAATAGAGGAACCAAGAGTGCCACACAACGTCAATCTCTTAGACCAGAAGATGATGACTGCTTTGATGCGGTCAAGAAGAGAATGCATGGGGTTGCTTACAACTCGGAAAATGCATCCGTTCCTCTCATTCCAAATGACCCAAATGAAAGCTAAAACCGATATCTTCCAAATGTTGCAGCCTGTTTTCAGAAGGGTGGGGGGTAAAAAAGCCTCAAAAGAGTTGTTGAATGGTGGATAGACCCAGGGTAGACCGAAAAGGCTTAGGAGCTCAGACCATAGTGGAGAGATGGCCGGGCAGTGGAGGAGTTGGTTTGCACTTTGCGGACTCTCTCTTTGATACCTTTCTTGTAGAGGTTTAACAAATGCTCTTAGTCTAGTTCGTTTTTGGTATTTACTTGATGGTTCTTGCATCTTTTGGGTTTTTTCTACATCTCTCCCGTCTCCCCCTCTGCCTCTCTCTTAACTCAACAATCAACATCCATCTTTTTACTTCTCTCCTCTTCCTTCCTCTTTCCCTTTAATTCATCCCCTTACTGTACATCTCTCTATCCTCCTGACCTGCGCCACACTTTTCCCCTCTCTCTTTCTTCCCTCTCCACTTTTGTTTTTTTTTTTCATTGGCATAGGTAGTTGATCATCTGACATGTAGGATTCCTACTTGCCATTTTTTGAGATTTTACCTCATAAATCTTGTATAGAGCACCTAGAGTGTGGACTGCTTGATACTCACCTCTCGTGAGAACATTGTAAATTTTTTGTTAATTATACATTGTCAATGATTTTGAAACAAAAAGAATGATAACCAACACTTTGATCCGGTGCTTAAGGCTATTGACTGTGTTTTCCTTTTCTTCAAACATTCTCGAGTTTCTTTTGATCCAAATCCCCCATAAAGTGGCTGAAACTGCCGCTGCCAAAGAAATATGCCAGCAGCTGGTCATGGGGAGGACATGAATCCTTGGAAGAGGTGTGGGATGGATGCGGCATTGTCCATTACCATTTGAAGAGCTTGGCCCATGTTCAAGAAGCCAACATGAATTGTATAAATAGGTGCTCACTGGTCTCTTCTGCTGATTTGCACGACACATCTATCAGGAATAGGAATTACCCCATTTTTGCAGCTGGTCGGTAGTGAGAAGTCTCTTGGATATGTGCTCTCCTCAAGCAGAACACTTAACTTTTGGGGGGAATGGATGAAAATCAAGCTTTGTAGGCCCAAAAGGACGTGGTTGAAAGTAGTCTGAAAAGATATTAGGACTTATGACCTCACTGATGATATGGCCTTTAATAGAGCAGAATGACAGACCAGGATTCGTGTAGCCGACCCCAATTAATTGGAAGAAAGGCTATGATGATGACGATGATGGATGAAACCCAAGCCTTGTTGGCCAAAGAAGGGGTGAGAGTGGGAAGGATGGTGGTTGAAGGAGTTTGCTATGGAATGGTGAGACCGTGAGTCTCCCTGAAGGAGAAGGTACCCGGACAATGTCATCCTCACCTGCTGAGGGTAGGTAGACTGATTGTCGAAGTGCAAGTTAGTGTCTCAACCGCAGCTATTTCGTGATCTTGAAGTGGCTTTCTGAAGTTTGGGCTGCATATCCTTGAAGCTTCTGGAGTTTTGAATAGGTCAGCCAATGTGGCCGCCATGTCTATGGCCAAAGGAAATGTTATAGAAACAGTCTTGGATAATTGAGTTATCAATCCATAATTTGGTCCAAAACTATACTTTTCTACCGGTTCTCGCCTTGAAATGGATATTCGACCAGTATTGGTCAAAGATGGATACCAAAGACGTGACACCCTGAAAAATGTCCATTTAAGTGCCCCTTCGCAACCAAGAGTGGGCTTCACGATGGTTTTCCTGTCGAACCATTTCTTGCGATAGGTGGTTCTCTTAGTGGCGAAATGCCACCATCGGTTTCCTAGGAGAGCCGTATTGTGCACTGTTTGGGGCTTCAGATGCCAAGGTCCCCTTGTTTTTTGGCGAGGCAAACCTTGTCCCAAGCTATTAGGTTAAGCTTTTGGCCATCCCACACCTGCTGAGAGAAAGTTCCTCATAACGCTCTCAAGGCAAGTCAAGATGGGGGCTGGTATTTGGAAGAGGGACATTACAGAGAGTGGCCTTGGTTAATCTCAGGTGATGTGCCCTCTAAAGATAAAAGGATTGAAAAAGCAAGGGGATTGAAAAATAGGGGGACTAAGGCACAGCCTTGCATCCATTGATGGTACTTTTCCCCGGACCCCATCTCTAGTAGGATCTGCTCTAAAAGAGCCCAATCCCCAGTCAAGCTTTATGACAACCCTGGGATTTTTTAGTAGTGTCTAGAGTGGATGCACACATTGAAAGGTGTGGCTAAGTGGAATTCAAGTCTATAAAATCAAAAAAAGTTCTTCCGTTCTTAATTAGTGAATCTGAATTCTACTTACAAGTGATACAAGATACTGCTGTAAACGAAACTAAAACTCTAAATACAACATAGGACCTTTCCTTTACTACCAAAATAAATAAATACAATCCAGGAATATGACTGAACAATAAAATTAAATGGCTGGGAAGACTTACTCGATTGTGCCTAGGACTTAGTATACTCCACACCCTAATTTCCTGACCGATGGCGCACTTTTGATCCTATTGGTCTTGCTGAAATTTTAGAGCTAGGAAGCTTGTCTCGGCAATACCCCTTAATTTAGGGTTTAGAGAGCACAAGAAAAAATTAAGGTTGGTAGAACCCCCTTTCTAGAACATCTAGGGCATGTCTTAAGAAGGCACCTCCCTTATAGGGCTAGGCACGCCTCTCTCACTCTTCCAGCCCTTTAGGGTTTCTTTGGTGTGTCACCCTCTTAATATTCTTTTAGGGTAGCATACTACTTAGAGAGAAGAGAGAGACAATAACTATAGAGGAATAAGAGAGAGTTTTAAGGCATGGAGGAGAGAGAGAAACCTCAAAGTGTAGTGAATGAAGAGGGGGGGGGGGGGGGGGGGGGGTTCAGTCGTCGTTTA